GCAGAGGAGGGAGGAGTTCAAGAGAGACACACATTATTGCAGGGGCTTTGAGTACAGTGACCAGTTGTTACTGAAAATAGTAATATTCCAGAGTGGATAAAAGCTTGAATCAAACTCCCTGTGCTGATTACATTGAGCCAGCTAACTGCACCTGGCATAGCTACACACTCCTGATATAAAATCTAAATCTTATGTTTAAACAGTGTGTCTGGTGTCTGGGTTTTGTGATTTCCCAGTTGTTATCGCTTTTTGTTCGACGGACATTGGGTTTTAGCTACGTTTTCTGGCACCTTTCACAAATCACAGCTCTTAATCATAATAACAAAAGGTCAGACCGTTATTGGATAGGCAGTGGCTATCAGAATATCATCACCAGCCATAAGCAAATCATGTGGCCAGCAGGAGCTACTGACATCATTAATGTCTCGTATTTATGAATATCTTTAAAAAAAATAACCCTCAGACCTGCAAATTAAGCAATAGCAAGAGCATCGATAATCATGCTTTCCTGTCACTGTTACCCTGCATATACTCAGGCAGTTCCTCTCCCACACAGGCTCTGAAGGGAGCAGTTATGTGTTGCCCACCATTTTTAATATTTTAGTTATACAAATACCAGGATGATGCTTAAAACAGTAATCAGAAGAGTGGGTGGATTAATATTGGTTTAAAAATTTCAAGGATTAATATTTGCTTAATTAATATTTCAAGGAAAGGAGGACTAAATTCAGATCAGCATAATCCTAAATTTTGTCCTGGCTGGTACTGGAGCTAAATGGGAACAAGGGATCCTGGAGATAAATCCTATGATCAAGCAAGGGCAGGATCCTGCCGGGGCCTGCTGGAAACTCATGGTGGGACACATTTAACTGCTGCTCAGAAAAAGAGTTAGTGGTTGTCCAGGGAAAAGAAGGAAGGAGCACACAAAAAGCTTCCCTGTTCACTCATATCACAGGCTAATGCAAGGATGTCCCCCAGGCTAGTGCATGCTGCTGACTGATGTGTATGGGCTGGCTAGCAGAGTCCTGGGCCTGCCTCCCTAATGAGAGATCATGCATGCCTCTGGCTGTGGTGCATGGGCCCGTTGGGCAGTGGAGTCCCTCTCCTGAATGTGAAGTATATACCCTGCTCTGTAGAAAAAAGGGCTCCCTCTGCCTCTTTCTTCCCCTTCACACAGTCTTCCGAACAGGCCTGCATTCCACTGCCCCAAGGGACATGGTATGGCCCAGAGGTAGGCCACTAGTGACGTATGTGGTATGTAGCAAGTGAGTATGCACCAGTCATGCCGCTCCTTTTCAGAGCATTCCCTCTCACAGGTGCACCCACAGGCACCCTGCTCTGCAGCAAAAGGATGGCTCTTGTACCAAATACAGCACCTCCTCTCTTCCCCTCCCACTTGCCCTGACCTCTACTCTGCCGGATTTCACCCTTCATTAGTAGGAGCATATCGCTCATCAAATTGTAAATAATAGAAGGATGTTACTATGTATCCCTCATTCCCTCCCTGCATTTCAGATCAAACACTCTTAATGGGAGGTTAAAGGGTGCAGGGGAGGGGGGCAGTGAACAGATCCTAGCAAGGAAATGCAAGGTGATTCTTTTCACCTACTGTAGCACATGAAGCACAGTATACTTTGTTCATCAAAATCGTGCAGCTGAGACTATGACAAGTCTCCAGATTACATTTTAATTGAGTAACCCTGGGATTTTGTTTCAGCACCTACATCGGTCCCTACCACTACAGAGGGCAATCCTGTGGATGAGTGTGATGATGACCAGGCAAACTGTCACAGCGGAACAGGTGATGACTACCAACTGACAGGTGCAGAAACCATCCTCATTCCATTGCAGCCTCATTTTAGTTCATGTTGATCACCAATTACCAGCTAAATGTCTGTCTTGATTGAATCACTCATGATGAATGGACATTGGTATGCAGTTTGTATTGTCTCCACTGTCACAACATAGGCATCTGCATTTTATATGTGACAATACTTTTGATTGTTTTCTCCACTGTGTAATTTTTGAGGCAAACAATAGTGACTAGCAGGCAGATAGGGCATTTTTGGACCAAGAATTGCATCTAATCAAATGCCCTATTTCACTTTCCCTTAGGAAAAAAATCCTGCACAGACCTTTAGGAGTTTTATTCTGATACCAAGGGGAGCTTGCCATCTGGGGCAGGATTCCCCGTTCAGCCATTGCCCTTTCCCAGGAAGCCATTGAGTAAACAAACACACACATTCACACAAGATCTAGCTCTTCTTCACCATCCCTCCAACACAGCCATATAGGGGGTGACTGCTAACTTCTTCTGGATGCCCCCACCAGCATAGAGATAGGAAGACAAAGAATCCAAAGCAGTGCTTTGCGGTGGGCTCAGATAGCCACAGACCAGAGTGTTTATGTTTCTTTTTTGTTCTTGTACATAGAGCCGCCTTCCCTCTGCATACTTTGGGGCTGCATAGTCAGCTTAGGTATATTTCTGGGGCGTACGTATCTCAGAGGATTATGTTTCTGGTCTATTGGAAAGGGCCCTGGGTTAGCAGAAATATACACCTACACCTACACCTACACCTACAGGGCTTATTAAGTTATTGCACTTTCACTCCCTTCCATGGTTAGCCTACAAAATCTGTATTGCTTCCTATATCCATTATATAAAATATGGCTTAAATTTGGCCCTCTGTCTGAGAGCACTTTGGATAACCTTAGATAGTTGGCGGGGGGGGGGGGGCCGCATTGGAAGCAGTCAAGAGCAGATGCGAAAAACCTGCACTTTCAGCATCCATCTCCTTCTGAGCCTTCGCTGTATTTCCTGTAAACACAAGTTGCAAACAGAGGGTTTTATTCATAGTTAAAAAATACAGATCTTCGGAGCAGAAGTGATACTGCACAGTCACAGTCACAGTCCCTGCTTTTCAAATCACAGTATCCCAGCTGATTTTTATTCTTTTGAAAATAGCCAAAGCGGTGAATCTGAAATAAGGAAATACCATCTGACTGCTACTCTGAAACCTAAATAGTTCAGAAAGCTTTCAGCATCAGTAAACCTTTGGATTTCTTGCATGCATATATCTCCAGAGCTGATTCAAAGAAATCTGGGGCCTTCTGTGATGACATTCAACTGGGGCCCCTAGTTGCAAGGCTCAAGTTTAGGAGCAGATGGTGAGTGGCTCAGGTGCCCAGTCTGAGGGGTGGGGAAAAGAAGGAAGGAGCACACAAAAAGCTTCCCTGTTCACTCATATTCACAGTCCCTGCTCTCCAGGGAGAAAGGAACTGCACCCCCGTATGCCTCTGGGGGCAGGAGGATATAGTCCACACTGGCCAACTCTACGATACACCACAGGGAGCAGTCTGAACCATCCAACACAGTGATGCAGCCTTCAGTCTTCCCTAAGTTCCGGGCCACTTGGGGAGGGAACAGAACCAGTCTCCTGGCTCTCAGTCCAGTGCTCTATTTCCACTGCACTACACTGCCTTTTTATATAAAGCTCGCCCATTGTGCTAGGCCCTGTTCAGACACATGGTATTTTATGGAGACAGTAGACATAACACAAACATGTAATGACACTAATTTAATTATTTGAGCGCTTTTTCAAAGTGTATAAAATGAACATTTTATGCTGTGTAAATTGTGTGCCACACTACAGATACTGGACAGGTGAAGAGGTGATTTTTCAGCTTCTTCTCTTCTTTTGATAGTTTTCAATTAGCATGTGAAATGCTTTGATTCTCAGATCTATAACTCTGTCAGATTCACATGCTTGATGGTATATACACAAATGTGAGTATCAAAATAACCTTGTCTGACAATATAACTGTCATTACACTCTAGACCAGATTCTTCCCTGTTACACTTTGGCCCTGAATATAGCAAAATTATTTGTGTGTCTTCCTGCATAATCATCAGACTCTCTATTATATCACTCGCTCAGACAGAAAACCAATATAGCTTGGGCATTCAATTTCATTAAAACTCATCCTAGGCCTCATCTTTATTACACGTAAAACTTGCTGGTGAGGGAAGGGAGATTTGGCTGATAATCAGCAGCCTATTGCTTCATGAACAAGCGTTCCTCTTCCTTTACTTTTTGTTTCCTGTATCGATATGATGACATCAGCAGTAAATTACTGAGTGCAGGGTGGAATCCAGGCTTCACCCATTCCTTGCCTACCTGCTCCAATAAGAAAACACATGGGATAGTTTCTCACTCTATCATGTGTGCCTGAACACAAGATCCATGCTGTCCATGTAGGGATATAAGAGAAGCTCTTCATCCATCTTTTCCCTTCCACAGGCACAAAGTCTGTGTCAGATTCTAGCCCAAATCCAGCTGAGCCTTGTGGAGTTTTGATGTGAACTCTTCTCACAACTTAGCTGTAAGACAATGCTGGGGAAGGATCCTGCAGTGGCTGGGGATGGACTAGGTTCCCTATGTAGATATTTTCTATCCTTTATTTGGGAGGCAGCATAGTATGGATGAGTGAGTGCAGAGGTGGGTTTTAGGAAGTCCTGAATTCTAGTGCCCTGCTCTGCCAGTGACTTGCTGTAAGTTACTTCACTTCTCTGCCTGATTTTCACCATTTATAAAATGAGGACAATCACAGTGAATGTTGTGAGCATTAATTAGTTAGTGTTTGTAAATGGTTTCTTAGATATAAAGCTCTATATAAGTGCTGTTTGTTATTATTTTCTATTATTCTCATGTTGATAAATCTCTCTCTCTCTCTCTCCCTGTATGAGATTTATGCATGCACATTCACATATGTATGTGCTTAGCCAGACAAACATCTCAGAAATATTTTACACGTATATTTAGAAACTTCCTAATGATTGCTGTGTCTTACTGTCCTGTTTCACATGTCATATCATGTATAATTTATTTTTCAGGTGGTACTACAGTGCTGACTACAGAAAAGCCGACAGTAATAGACAGTACAGTACAGCCAGGTATAAAACAGAAATTTTCTCATTAAAAATATAGTAAATTCCTTACCCAAATCTCATGCCAAAGACAAAAATAATGAATTGCAGCACTTCCTGGCTTTCTGTTCCTAAAAGTCTCTGAAGTAAAGAAGCATCTGGTCTCTGAGCTTTGTACAGTAAATATTTAACTCCTTTCATCCACATGTATATGCAGTAGACAGCAAGATATCCTTCTGCAAATGTCTAATGGGGACAATACTAGTTATAAACTAAACTAACTTAATCACACCACAAACTCTGTTTAAATGCAGCATACGTGTGACACTGTGTGTTTGCAAGCTCCAGATGAAAAAACAAACAGACACAATGGCAGATTCACTATTGACATCCCTCACAATTCTGCAAAACCAAGACAAACAAAGTTTGCCAGTTTTCTCCACCACAGAGTTGGCAAGTTTACAATATTATTTTCTAGCAAGTACTTTCAAAATGGGGTTATATAAACTGCTACCATAAACTTGCACTAAGAGGAAAGGAGCTGTCACTGGCAGCAAGTCATCTTTTCTTAATCAATACAATAGCTAACAGCTTTTACAATCCTTCATTTGCTACTTCCCCCTGCTTCACAGCCCAGGCTTCACAGCATTTGAGTTCTGGCCATTTTTAATATCCTGTACAATTAAAAAAAAACTCCTAAAAGTATGAGCAGCAATTTTAAATGCTCTGCATTAATAATTGTGGGCTGGTGAGGAGGTCAATGTTTAGTTACTCCCATTTCCTTTAGTAAAGCACAGCCAGGCACAGTTTCCCAAGTAATTTATTAACAGGGTGTGTAACTGTGTATCAGTGTTTCCTCCACAAAAGGACACCATCAGGCTTTGCTTCAAGCAAAAAGAATTGTGTTAATAATTAGAATGCTTCCTTAAGGACACTGGAGACCTGATTAAGAAGCAAAATTGACTTAGTTTAGAGGTTGTTTTTGTTCTTAACTTCTGAGTTCCCATGCTGTACAGGTGAAAACTTTCCCCCACCTTAGAATTTGTTGCCCTTGTCCTAGGTGTGTGTTTAGTCGGCATGTATTATTCTGAGCAATGTCCTGCTTTCGAGTCAAGATGGGATCTCGACAGACAGCTCTGCCTGCCTGTTCCTGTACCACCTCAATTAGAGGGAACAACCAGCTTGCAGGTAGAGCTGATCAGAAAAAGTTTGACGAAGCAGTTATCCATCGGAAAACGCTATTCTGTCGAAATCGAAACACTTTGTGACATCATGTCATGCTGTCAACATTTTGTTTTGGAGTAAAAAGGGGGGTGGGTCTAAAACATCCCCGTAGGACATTTTCAGAATGAAACATTTTGATTTTTCCTTTCAAAATGATTTTTTCTTTCTAACCTTCTTATTGTGTATTATATATTGTAACAAAACGTTCTGACCAAACCAAAGTGATTGTTTGTTTTTTAAATTGCTTTCACTGAGAATTTTGAAATTTTTGAATTTTGTTCCATTTGGGAATGAAAACTAATTTGGAAATCTCAAAATCCTCCATGAAATGGAATTTCCACTCTGCACACGGCTCCACTTGCAAGCTATGCTGAGTCTTGTTGGCTTGGGTGGACTGTTCTGTAATATGACTGACTACTTTTGGCAAGGGCAGGGGAGAGTCTTTCAGGATTTCATCATTGTCTTTCTTTACGGCTCCCCTCCCCCACCAGCACCGCCTTCTCTTGCCCTGTGATGAGCCAGCATTTTTCCAGCTAAAGACATTGCTCTGAAGCGCTCTTCGGAGCTTGCCAATGTTATTTCCCTGCATTGTTCAGTCAGAGTCACTTGTGTCACTAGGCACTACTTCCTCCCACAGCATAAGGGGTAAGCTCCGATCCCAAACTCCAATTCTCCATGTGGCAGCACATAACAAAGACTCACAGGCAGATGGGCAGCCACAGGGCCGGTTTTAGGCCGATTGCACCGATTCCCCGGAATTGGGCCCCGCGCCTAAGAGGGCCCCGCGCCTTAGGAGCCTTTTTAAATTTTTAATTTTTTTTACTCACCCGGCGGCGGTCTGCTCTGGGTCTTTGGCGGCATTTTGGCGGTGGGGGGTCCTTCAGTGCCGCAGAAGTCGCGGAGCAGACCCCCCTGCCGCTGAAGTGCCGCTGAAGACCCAGTCCGCCGCCGGGTATTCAAATCGGGCCCCGCAGGTCCTAAAGCCAGCCCTGGGCAGCCAGATACAATAGTGATGGTACCTGGAAAAAATGTTTATAAATTAAAACAAAAGTTCTAGAATCTTTGCACTGCCTCACTGCAAGACATCCTTAAAAGCTGCATAAAGGGGCAGCTGAGCATATTCCCTAACATTGGGGAAATCTCTAGTGATGTGAAGGCAGTGTAAGTGGCTCTCCATCACCCGGTCCTGTTGTCATAAGGGTTAGCCTTAGACATGGAATGGCATAAAGGGGGCAAGTAAGTTTGGAAGGGATGAGGTTGGGCAGAATGCAAGATCCCTATCCAGATCCCCAGCCTCTGTAGCTACTGGTTGCAAGCAGTGTAATTTAAACTAGCTTTGAAGTTGGTCTAAGTTATTCCAGGGACCTCTTTAGCCCCCACTGACCCAGGATTGGGGGAGTGACTTAGAGCCACCTTTCTCCACCCCCTCTCCTCAGCTGCACCAAGTGTAAATTCAGTACAGCAGACGACTGAGCCCGCGGATTCAGTCCTGATTCTATTTAAATCAATGAGACTTTTGCCATTGATGTCAGTGGGGCTGAGAGTCCTAAAGAAGTTGGAAAGAAGAATGGTATCAAAAATGCTTAAAGGTTTGAATTTTCTTAGGAAAGGATCTAAACTGCTTGCAAAATTGTAAAAGTGTTGAGTCACCCAGACATCTAATGTAGCATTTAAAGTCCTGCCTGACAAGGAGACCACCTGACAGGTGTCATTCCTGTGCCTTGTCAGCCCAGTTCTTTTTAAACACCTCTCTTGCAGTGGCAAGGAACCGATTTAAAGAACGAAGTGGCATGCTCAACTCTTGCCTATTCACACATAAACCAGGTTGTGCATTTGCATTGTATGTGCTCAGTCGGTGTGCACAGCCCTGTGTCAATCAGGAAAGTTAATAAATCAAATGTTTTGTTTCATGCAACTGTAATAACTAGTTTACAAAAGATACATCAGGGAAAATGAGGGATCAAGAGCTATGACAAGAAACATTTTTAAGGTAGAGTGTGTCTGATTCTCTTTACACTAGGACAACTTTACACCACTATAGTAGTGTAAAAGGACCTTAAAGTGTGTGAAAATATAATTTATTCCCAGTTTAAGACTGCTTTACACTGCCAGAGTGGTATATGAGAATACTGTAAATGAGAATCAGATCCTGTATGTCAGCATTGACGTGGTCCAATTATTTTGATAAATTTCCATTTTAATGTTCAGATACCCCTGATTCACAGCATCGCTGAAGAGTTTTCTTCATGTCCTGAATGCCCCTCTGCTCCTTCTTGCCTCCAGTTGGTGCAACAGTAGAAATATGTCAGACTGTGTCCCAAGAAAGATAAATGGACTGGAAAGACACCCACACAGCTGGATTTTCAAATGACTAGCTTGTTCATATGCAGCATTGATGATTACAGCTGTGAGCAAGATGTAGCCTAGAAGTACAGCCATTGGCTACTTTCTGAGAGGATAAATTGGTTTAATTCCATACCACGTAAACCTATATTTTTAAAGAGTTGGGATTTTGCCACACATAACCAATTGCTTCTAGTATATACGACCTGATATGCATTTGCGCTATGGCCAGTTTACTCCATGCCTTTGATACAAAGCAAAACTAGCGATTGCTTAACTAGTCATGAGAGGATCACTGTAGTTCAGGGGGATCTTCTAGTGGCATAGAGCCAGTGTCAAAATGTCTACATTTCCTTTCTCGCAGCCAGGGCCGGTGCTACCATTAAGGCGAACTAGGCGGTTGCCTAGGGCGCCAAGATTTGGGGGTGCCAAAAAGCGGTGCCCCCGATTTTTTTTTTACAGCGTTCCTTCCCGAGCGCGCGGTCACCACTCCACTTCTCCTGCCTCCCAGGCTTGCAGCACCAATCAGCTGTTTGGCACCACAAGCCTGGGAGGGGAGGAGAATTAGAGCAGGGGCAGCGTGCTCGGGGGAGGAGGCGGAGCGAGAGGTGAGCT